ACCCAAGAGCCTACATCACACAGACACAGGTCTCCCCAAACAGTTAAAAAAAAAAAAAAACCTGCAGGGAAGGCAGAGAGACAAGGAACCCTGGCCAGAATGGGAAGGGGACCCAGGAGCATATGAAAATCTGCTTCGGGGACAGTAAAGCAGTGAAGAGAGCTGAGAGAATTAGAAAAACTGTGAGATGGAAGGGGTGGGCTACATCTTTGATGCCAGCACTCAGTGGGTGGAGGCAGAAGGGGGGAGGGTGGCCGTAGAATAGCAAACTTGAAAAGGTCATGTAGAACATACAGTAGAAACCCAGGGACATGGGGGGGGGGGGACGGGACAGATCAAACAAAAGAGGAAGTATTCCTACTCTGAGAATTAAAGGTGTCTGAAACAGAAATAAGAATTAAATGAAAAGCCGGACAGCGGTGGCACACGCCTTTAATCCCAGCTCTCAGGAGACAAGGGCAGGTGGATCTCTGTGAGTCTGAGGCCAGCCTGGTCTACATAGTGAGTTCCAGGACAGTCAGGGCTACACAGAGAAACCCTGTCTTAGAAAAAAAAAAAAAAAAAGGAAAGAAAGAAAGAGAAGAGTTAAATGAGACTGCTGCACTCTGAACCATCTTAATACACTGTCAAAACATGATATACAAATGAATAAAACTATAGAGGTTGAACGAGTTCATCGCGTTTAAGCCTCGTCACTGTGTGTGTGAGAAACAAAACAAAAACATCTAGAGACACTGTCTTTTTCTTCACAGACCCACTAAAGTCTGTTTATTCAAGTGGGGACACTTTGTGAAAGCCTCGGTTATCAAGTAGAACAAATAAGGGGTGGTCATGGCAACAGCTAAGGCCCTGCACTAACTGAAACCTCAGTCAGTCAGGAGTCCTCGTCCACCCTCCTTGCTGCAGGCCTTGGGGGCAAGTTCTTCTCCTTACAGAGTGCAGAATCACTGTCTTCACACGGAAAACTACTTAGCTCCTAGCTACCCCAGAAATGACTGAGCTCAAGGCCAAGATCAGAGACACAGGGTAGACTCCCCTTGGGTCAGCTGCCTACCCTGGCACCAATAACTCATCAGCAGGGACAAGGGAACATTGCAGCTCCCCAGCACGTATGTGAGGGGCCAGCTGTGAGTCAGCTCCAGAAAGGCCAGAATCACACCCACAGGAAGAACTCTGGCGAAGGGCTCCCACACCGAGAGTTGCCAGCGGATGGCAACAGAGGTCAGCAACAAAGAAGCTCCTGTAGAGCCGGGCAGGGCCATGTGAACTTGTCATCCCAGCATCTCGACGTAGAGGCAGGGCCATCCAGAGTTCGAAGTCAGCATGACATATTTAGTGAGACTGACTCAAAGATAGGTAGGTAGGTAGGTAGATAGATAGATAGATAGATAGATAGATAGATAGATAGATAGATCAAGATGAACTGTTAATAATATTCGAGACCTTTAGTGAATATTCTTCTAATTTTTTTCCCAAAGAATCTCCTAGAGGACAGGCTTCAAAACCCTGACAAAAGAGACAGAAAAATAAAACATTCTAGTTTTAAAACTAAAACAAAAAAAAAGTTTAAATAAAAAGGAAGAAAATGTTGAGGGAAATAACCATATGATCAGAAAGTATATGGTATAACTACAAAAACAGGGAGATAGAAAATGAGAAAAAAATCTTCAAAAAAAAATGTTGTGTTCTGTTACTATCTTGCTCTAAACATTGCTGTTATCCTGAGCCAGCCAAATGGAATAAAGTGACTAATTGTGATATGTTCCAGTTCTCTTATTCTGTGTCTTTGAGAAGAGGGAGATTAGTGTAAGAGAAGACAGATATAAAATAAGAGATTTTAAGAACAAACTAATTATCCTATAAATGAATTTTATAGAACCCATGAGGTGTTTGTATGCGCGAATGTGCGTGTGTGTATGTATGTGTGTGTGCCTGTGTATATCTGTGTGTGACCCTGTGTATAGCAGGAATCTTAGAAGGTCTTATTAATAAAATCAAACCTGAGCCAGGTATTGGGGTGAATGCTGGATGATCAGAGAAGCAGAACAAGACACAGCTTCCTCACCTGGCCAATTCCTCAGGTGATCCTGTTTCCTCAGACTGGAAACCTCTCAGCTGAACTGTGCTGCTCAAAGTCTAAAAGCTTAACGAGCCAAAAGCTTCTAGTTTCTGGTCCTCACACCTTATATATCTTTCTGCTTTCTGCCATCACTCCCTGGGATTAAAGGCTTACTTTCTAGGATTAAAGGCGTGAGTTACCATGCTTGGCTGTATCCTTGAACACATGGATTTCTGCCTCTGGAATACTAGGATTAAAGGTGTGAGTGCCACCTTTTTCTAGCCTAAGATTCTAGTGGCTTTTCTGTTCTCTGACCCCAGATAAGTTTATTAGGGTACACAATATTTTGGGGAACACAAACCACCGTGTGTGTGTGTGTGTGTGTGTGTGTGTGTGTGTGTGTGTGTTGCATACTTCTTAGCTCAGCACATGGGAAAGGTTTAGGATTAATGACTTCCCAACCAGCACTGAGAATATTCATATTTTTAAAATACCATTTCCAAAAGGAACCTGAGCATTGTTTCAGTAATAACAGATTCTATGCACAGGGCAGAACAGGTTCCGTGGACCTAGAATAACTTGTCACACTGCAGCTGTTCAAAGAGGCCCTGGCAGATGTGGAAATAGTGAGGAGCTATCATATCACCTGATATTAAGTCCCTCTTATTTTTTCTATTTGTTCCTAAGACAAAAGACGCCCAAGCCAATCATGATAGTACATACGAGGACTTCAGAGGCTGAGACATAAAGATCGTAGCAAGTTCAAGACAGCCTAAGCTGTAAATACTGTTTCAAAAAATTCCAGTCCCGTTTAGATCCTGGCTACATTCTCTGCAGCTTTTTCTCCTTACATTCGTTTTGCCCATTTTGTTATTTCACAATTCCAGGACAGTGAACCACTGGATGCCTGAATTATTTCTGGTATACATGGGGTCATTTGTAAATCCAGGGTTTTCTCCTAGCCACCACACAGAGTTTAAGCAGTGTCTTAATTATTCAAGTTCACCAACTTATAATTTCTTTTCATTTCTCAAAGTGACTAGCACCCATTCTTCACCTTAGCCCACCTAGGAAACATGCTTGCCTTATATTTAAGAATAAAATCTAGACATTCAGCATCAACTGTACATGCAGCAAGCTGGAAAGGGCAGCACCAAGCTTACATCAAGAAACAATCAGACAGTGTGAAAAATCTTGGCTATTTGAGAACTGACCAATGACTGATGGTGAACATAACCCAGGGTAGAAAGCAAGCCAGCATCATCAAGGACAGTGAGACACCAAAACCTATTCACTGTGGGACAGCATGAAAGCAAGAAGTCACCATAAAGGCCAGTAAGAACTCAGTGAGATTTCTGAGTTAACTACTCAGAGCCAACTTCTATTAGGACAAGTATTATGACCCTGTGACATCACCTTGACATGGGCCTAACTGAGAGCTCACTGGGAAGACTGAAGACAGAGGAAACCTTAGAAGCCCTCCCTTAGACCCATGCCTGGACAGAGAAAGTACATGATAAAGAACAAAAGTCAGTTCTCCCTCCCTTTCTGACCTTGGGGAGCAAACACTTTAAAGCACTGGGAGGGAGGCATGCCTCACCACCTCGGGACATAGGTCAGCCCGAGGTAAAGGTGACATGCACATAGACATCCTTAAAGGCAGGAAAGGGTCGAAAATCCCTATGATCCATGACAGAAGCTAAGCCAGAACTACAGAGCACGCTCCTTGGCAGCCACCAGGTCTGGCATTAAATAACTTCAGTTTTCTCCTGAGATGACACAGGACCACAAAGAGACACTCCTCTAAAAAGAATCACTGGCAACTTTCTGCACAAAATTCAAAATAATGTTAGTCATTTGAAACCAAGAGTTTGGTGAAAATAGTGAAAGAAACAAAGTCCTAAACCAAATCAGCCGATGACTATATTGACTCAACTTACCACACCAGTAAAAGACAGGTTAAGTCTGTTTTCAGGAACAAGGACTATTTACATGTGTGTACTGTGTACTTTTGGTCAACTTGACCTAAGCCAGGACACTCTTGTGAAGAAGGAGTTTCAACTGAGGAACTGCCTCTATCAGAATGACCTGGGGCATGCCTATTGGGGCATTTTATTCATTGATAATTGATGTAGAATAACCAGCCCACTGTGGGCAGTGCCATCCCTAGGCAGGTGGTTCTAGGCTGTATAATAAAGTAACTGAGTAAGCCAAAGCAAGAAAGTCAGTAAGCAACATTCCTCTGTTGATTCTGTTTCCTCGAGCTCCTGCCTTGGCTTACCTCAGTGATGGACTATTACCCATAAGAGAAATAAACTCTTTCCTCCTCAAGTTGGATCTGATCAGGGTTTTATCCCAGCAACAAGCAATCTAGAATACTCAGACTTTATTGTTCTCAACGGGATGTTTGACTCTGGGCCAAAAATTGCAAGACATGCAAAGAAGTAAAGGAAAATAACTTGCCATCAAGAGAAAAAGCAAGCGACCCCACACAGCCAGACTTAGCTATGACACACTGGTGCCGGTGTATCTATCAGACAGAACAACTGGTCACTATGTTCATTGTTCTCATAAAAAAAAAAAAATATGAGTTGGGCTCACGCCTTTAATCCCAGCACTCAGGAGGCAGAGGCAGGCAGATCTTTGTGAGTTCGAGGCCATCCTGGTCTACTAAGTGAGATCTAGACAGGCGCATGACACATGTACAAAAGCAGCAGAGAGATGGATGTCATGATTAAACTGGTAAAATGATAGAGTTTTTAAGTTTTTTTTAATTTTTTATTTTTAATTGTGTGTGTGCATGTGTGTCTGAGTATGGGTCTGCATACATGCATGCAATTTACTGTGGAGGCCAGCAGAGGGCATGAGACCACAAAACTGTAATTATAGGCAATGGTGAGCCACCCACCTAAATGCTGGGAACTGAACCCAGGTCCTTAGCAAAAGCAGTATGAACTCTTAACTGCTGAGCCATCTCCTCAACCCTAAAAATGAGAGTTTTTAAATGTTCTTTGAGATGAAGGATGCCCTTAATTGGCTTCCAGTGGTAGAACTGGAATACCAACCCAGCCATAAAACCTTCCACCAAAAACCTATCCTGCCTGCAAGATGTGCTGGGGCAGTGGAGGCACAGAATTTGTGGGAGTGGCCAACCAATGACTGGTGTAATTTGAGGCCCATACCATGAGAGAGAATCCATGGCCAATGCTGCCTGGATGGCCACAAATACGAGACTGGATAGCCCGAAGACCTAGAATAGAAAAAAGTAAAAGATCAATAAAATGATTCCTAATGAAATTCTTACATATTCATAGATCAGTGCCTAGCCCAATCATCATCAGAGAAGCTTCTTCTGGCAGCTGATGGGGATGGAGGCAAATGCAGAGACCCGCAGCCAAACATTAGGCAGAGAGAGAGCCCAAATTGAAGATCTCCATTGGGTCCCTCCCTTTGGAGCCTAGAAACCCCATGGAAGAGGGGTAGGAAGAACTGTAGGAGTGAGAGGAGCCAAGGACACCAGGAGAACACGGCCTACAGAATCAACTAAACAGGGCTCATAGACTCTGAAGCAGCAACTGCAGAGCTTTCCTGGGTCTGTGCCAGGTCCTCTGTATACACGGTGTGGTTGTTTAGCTGGGGGATTTTGTGGGACTCCTAACAGTGGGAGTGTGGGCTGCCTCTGACTCTTTTGCCTGCTCTCAGGACCCTTTTCCTTTTACTAAGTGTTGCCTCACCCAGCCTTGATAGGAGGGTTTGTGCCTGGTCTTACTGTATCTTGTTATGCCATGTTCAGCTGATAGGGAGGCCTGCTCTTTTCTGAAGGGAAACAGAAGAGAAGTGGATCTGGGGGGAGGTAGGAAAGGACTGGGAGGAGTGGAGGGAAAACTGTGGTTGGGATGTATTGAAAACAAAAATAAATAAATAAATAATTTTTAAAAGAGTGTCTTTAAGTGATGTGTCCACAGATACAGCCCAACTGGGGAAAACACTGGTGAGCATGAAAATGCATCTATAAAAATTCCTTAAAGCAAAACACCAAAAGAAGGAATAAGAATGTTTAAAAAAAGAAAACTCTAAGAATCTAGGGTACTGGTAAGGTTTAGGGGAGATATAAAACAGTACAGCAGTGTGCAATTAAAGCCTAGAAGGAAAAGAAGAAAAGATATGTACTAAATATTTTCAAAGATAATAGCAAAAACTTTCTCAAAGTTGGAAACATTTTTTTAAATATTTTAAAAGAATTACCCACTCCATTTAAAACTACTAACCACGATAAATCAAAATAACAATAAAACTGTAAACACATCTATTCAAAACAAAGAATGAAAACTGGAGAAAAAATACAGACAGCATAAAAAGTTACTCTACATAAAAAACAAAGATTAGAAGTACAACAGACATCAGAAATTAAGATTAAGGGAAGTGGCATGAAATCTTTAAGGTGTTCGCATGAGTGAAATACTGTTACTAGAAAATTCTATATTCAATGAAAATATTTTTCAAGAGTAAAAGCTAATTAATTATAAACAGCTACTAGCTGGTGGTTGACTTTTTCCATGGGCTTCTAATCTGTAAAGTCATCACTCTGGCCAAGAATACCATGTATCATAAATATAGATAAAATTTTCTTGATGTATAAAAAATATTAATGTTTTCTCATATTATAGTAAAGAGTTCATCTTCTGCCAGCCAAGTACTTTTTATGTATAAATGCTAGCCGCAAAGCTTAAAGTCTTTTTGATTATTATAATATAGCCTGTATATCAGAGATCCTAAAACAAATCATCCACCCTTCCCATCTAACTGAGGGCCCATAGGATAATACACATGGTCAGAAGCTAGCATTTATCATGCGAGCATTTTAAGATATCTTTGTAAACTGAATCCCTAAGAGCTCAGACTCTGATGGTTATCTGTTCTGAGATAGGATTTCAATTCCCATGTGCCTGCTTGATAACTTCCACTCCCCTAATGTGATGGCTCATTTATGTGTCAACTTGGTTGAGCCAGGGTATGCCCAGATATTTAGTTAAAGATATTCTGGATGTTTCATGGAGATATTTTGATGTATTTAGTGTTAAAGTCATCAGAATACCTTCTCTATCCTGGGTGGGCCTCATCTAATCAGTTAAAGGCCCGAATAAATAAAAATGCTCACCCTGTCTTGCTCAAGGACAGAATTCTCCTAAATGAAGCCTCTTGAACTGAGTCCCAGATCTCTCCAGTTCACAGCAGCCCTGGCACTGGGCTCAAGTTGGGATACTGGCTCTGCAGACTTTTCATTGCCGGCCTCTGAGATGAAGGAAGTTCCTTGTAATAAGTCAATACATGATGATGAATCAGTAGTACATAGGTAGATCAACAGATGACAGATAGTATTTAATTGAACTATGTTCTAAATAAGATTTAAAGAGACATGCCTTAGTGAAAATTGCTTCTCACCCAAACCAGAAAGAATGCTTCTCCTATCTTTAATGATATCTGTGATGGTTAATGCTGTCAACCTGTCAGGATCTAGGTTAATATTGTCAGTTTGACAGGCTTCTAGGTTTGCCTGTGAGGGACTATCTATATTAGGATAATTGAAAGCAGAAGAGATGCACTGAACATAAGCAACTCGTTCCACAGACTGGAGTCTTTGGCATTAGCACTTGCCCTCTGCTTCCTGACTACAGATGCAAGGTGACCAGATACCACAATTTTCTTCTGCCATGACTTCCCCACTATGATGACTGCACCATCAAACTGTGAGCCAAACAAGCCCTTCCCCCTTAAGTTGTTTCTTGTCAGGTTTTTTGTTGGTGATGATGGTGGGTGTTTTTTGTTTGTTTGTTTGTTTGTTCATTTGTTTGTCACAATAATGAGAAAAGTAACTGGTGCACAAAAATGGGTACAGAGAAATAGGGCCATTTCTGTGATATGGTTTGGGGTAGAATGTGAAAGAGTTTGGAACTTTGGGATAGAAAAGCAAATGTAATCAATCAAAGCTTAATGGACCATGCTAGTGAGAGGTAGGAAGACAAGAATGTGAAGACAACTACAGACAGTAGAGGTCTAGTTCAGGAAGTGTCGAAGGGGAACAAGGACTCTATCAATAATTGGGCTAGGGACCACTCGTGTGACATTCTAGCAAAGAAACTGGTTGCATTCTATCCATGTCCTGAGAACTTGATGGGACTGAACTTTAAAGTAATGGCGTAGGTTTTCTGTTAGAGGAAATTCTAAGATAGAACAACATTCAGGCAGTGCCATGGTTACTGATCTCCTTTTCATTCAAAGTCACAGTGAAAAAAGGCAAAAAGAGGGGCAAAAAGAGAAGAAAAATGTGAAGTTTGGCATGGAAAGACAGATGAGAAACTTTAAAGTTCCCCACATGAAAATTGGAGATGGTAAAACATCTATAATTATTAAAGAGATTAGCACCATTAAAGAGAGATGTGCTTCCTACTGGAACAACAAAGAAGATGCCCTGAGGAAAAGACTCTACCCATTGAAGGTTCCATCTTATGAACAACGAGATCATTTTGAAAGCAGAGAGACTAAACTAACAGTGCTGTTGAAAGGGTCCCCTACTTCTGGGAAGCAACTCCCTGTATAAACTGATCACAGATCGCTCCATGGTGTGGTTAAGGGGGAGGCCTTTATTGTAGATTTGAGAGAGAGGGAGCAGTCAGAGGCATCTGGAAGAATCTAGAACAGAGAGAGAAAGAAGTAGGCTGAACACAGGCAGCAGACTGGACCTAGACAGGGCGACCTGTGAAAGAGAGAAGAACAGAGGATAAAGAACCGAGAAAACAGTGAGAGAAGCAGGTGAGATGGAGGGAAAAGCTTAGTGAAAATAGCAGGGTTATAAAGAGAAAGAATAGATAGGGGGATAAACGTAACCTGGTGGAAGTTCAAGGTAGGGGAAGAGGTGAGAAAGGTTTGAAATGTGTAGCAGGTGTTTGAGATACTGAGGGGGCCTGGAGGCCAGCATGTGCTTTAGTATTCTAAAGGGCACCACAGGCAGCCATTTGTCCCTTTGGACAATGGGGAACCAACTTTACAAGTTCCTGAGGAATGCTAGATTTTTAATCTAACCATCAGAAATCCTCCAACAGTCAAAGTTGAGTCCATTTCTGGATCTTTGGATGCCTTTTAGAGTTTGGGGAATTGGAGTCTCCTTTGTATCTAGCACTTCCCAAAGAATTGCTTCCCTAGAGTCTGCAAAGACATCTGTGCAGCTGTGGTCGAAGGGGGCAGGCTCCATCCCAAGCTGGCAGCAGAACTTGACAGGCTCATCCACATGTACTGGTCATGCAAGCATGAAAGAAGCATGACTGAGAGAGTGGTAGAGTCTTGTACCATGCATGGATCCAAGTAATGTGTGGCAACGTTGGAGTCCTTGCAAGGAGGCCCTGAAAGGGAACTTTATAAAGCTATGAGGGTAACGCATATATTACAATGGAGACCCCAGGATGTCAAAAACCATGGTGTGTACACTAAGGAAAACTATATGTATAGAATGGAGCTTGCTCAAGGGGGAGGTTATGTGTGCTGTGCGGGCTGAAGGGATGGGCTACCTGATCCTTTTATACATCCAGGGAATTCCACCACAAGCCTGATGGACATGTACTTGCAGGAGCTGTGTTTTCCCTGCTGGGTCAGTCTTGCATTAGTTTGATAATCCCTTGCTATACCCACATTCTTCTATTTTGAAATAAAGATTATCATCCTGTGCCATTGTATATTGGAAATGTGTGACTTATCTTTTATTTTTATTTTTAAAATTATTTATTTTATTTTATATGTATAAGTGTTCTGTCTATATGTATGAATGTGTCCCATGTGTGCCTGGTGCCCATAGAGATAAGAAGAGGGCATGGGATCCTTTGTAACTGTAGTTATGGATGGTTGTGAGCTGCCATGTAGGTGCTGGGAATTGAACTTGCGTCCTCTCCAAGGGCAGCTAGTGCTCTTAACCTAAGCTATCTCCCCAGCCCCTGTTTTTGTTTTACAGTTCCTCACAGTTGAGAGGCTGCCTTCAGTCTCAGATGAGACTTGGATTTTTAATTTCAAACAGTACCAATACCATTAAAAGGTTATGGGGACTTATGAAGTTTGAATTAGTGCTTTTTGCATTATGCAATGGCCAGGAGTCTGTGGGGCTAAGGAGAGGAAGGTTAAGGCTTTAAAATGAAGCATTTGGATGTCAAGCTGACCAGAGGTGGAGTTGTGGTGGTTAGTATTGTCAACTTCTCAGGATCTAGAATGATCTAGAAAACAAACCTCAGAGCATGCCCTTGAGGGATTATCTACATTAGGTCACCCTCTGAGTGTGCCTGTGAAGGACTGTCTAAATTAGGTTAATTAAGATGGGAAGACCCACCTGAACCATGAGTGGAACCATTTCATGAACTGAGGACATCAGCTGATAAAGACAAGCACTAGCATCAGCTGCTCTCAGCTTTCCGACACAGTGATCAGATGATGCCAGCCCCTGCTGCAGTGACTTCCCCAGCACAAGAACTGTTTCCTCCAACAATAAGGGAAAACAAACTCTGTCTTTGAGTCCTCTCATGCAGGGTGTTCTGTAATAAAACAGGAAAAAATGACTTAATCTTGACAGTTGATAAGTAAAAGTCTACTTTCAATATAAGAGATTTAGAACTAATTAATAGAACACAAAAGAAAAAAGAAGACAATTCTCATGTCTTAAAACATCGCCTTGCCTGAAGAACTATGCAACACCTTTGTGGAAGTGATGATGATGTTATGGGGGCCATAAAGATGATGCTGGTGGTGTGGTGTGGTGGTGGTGTGGTGGTGGTGAGGTGGTGTGGTGGTGTGGTGGTGGTGAGGTGGTGTGGTGGTGTGGTGGTGGTGTGGTGGTGTGGTGTGGTGGTGTGATGGTGGTATGGTGGTATGGTGGTGGTGTGGTG